CTTTCCTTGTACCAATAGCAGACTGTCAGTTTCCGTCACACATGCTTTCCAATCTACGAAAGCGTACTCTTTGGCACGTAGTCTCGAACTACATTTATCAGATCCACATCTGATTTCAGCCGTACTGCTGTAACACGTTAGACAAGGGTTCAGATTTTTTTTCTAAACTACTGCAAGCTTAACTTCCAGTTCATCGAGCAGTGCCCTATAGATCTGCACAAACTTTTCGAATATTTTAATGCTAGAAAACATTCTATCAGGCGATTTTCCTCCAGGGAAAGCGGTTAAAATCATTTTCGTTAAACTTCCCGATGTTTTCCCATTCACGGTCGTCAAATGGAACCAGTCGCAGAATGCCGTGTGAAAACGCACGTATACCTCCGATGTAGTGCAGTTAGCTCCTCAACTAGATGATGTTCAAAATAACAGCCGAAATTCTTTTTAAGAAAGTGACTAATTATTGTGAATGAGATAGCCTTTGATCCAAGTATGTACCATTTTGAGATTCTTCAATTGCCACAAAATAATTTCTTGGCACGTACTATTGCAACATCACGTGTTTCACGCGCAGATTTTTAAGCGTATTAAGACCGTAAAGTGTTTTTTCGTCGAAAACATGTGCATTACGTTAACCCTATAATTTATCATTTCAACGCAGTTTCAGCGCCTTAAAATGTTTGGTCTAGAAATTATGTTACTATTAGATATGTCTACTACTTGCGGTCATTCTGCCGTTTAAGCAGCCACATAAATCGTCTCTTCGGTTCTTCTCTTCATGTATTATTCTTCATGATGTATTAAATTTATCTGAGAACCCTCTTTTGTCCTTTGCATATCTATATATATACATATATGTCATATGTATATATGACAATAATCGCAACTATTTTAATACTTACATGATAGCGCGTTTCGCACGATTTGCAGTAACAAGAATTAACGATAAATACGCCTAAAACTTGAAGCGGAAACAGGTCCAGCATATATCGTAATATATTATATAGTATAATGTAATTATAAGGCCATTCTAACAAAGAAAGCTGAATGTATGCCTCTGCCAGGTAAGTACGCTTAGAAGCATGTATGGGCCAATTTTATCACAGCGATTGTGTACAATTGATTCCCAGGGTATGAAACCTAAAAAGTAAAGCAGCTCATCGACTAAACGTTGTTGTCTTTTCGCAAAACTTTTGGTTGCAGATCTATTGTCGACAGGATTGCCCCACCTTCTGTATAATTTATTTACTATTCCTATATTTAAGAAGGACGTGGAAGGGCATTAGAAAAACGCGATAAAATATCAAAAATGACGCAAACAAGGCCCCGTAAAAAGTCAAAAGCTGACAAAGACGATTCAACAATATCGTTGAAACAATCACTTAAATTACGGATTGACATATGACAAAAGAAACAAGAATACGGCGTATTTAGTTTACAGCGATAGAAGAGTGTTCTACGAAGTACACAATATGGTTTTACTTATAAAACCGTTTACTTTTTCCGTTCTTTAAACTCTATCTTGGAAGAGTTTCATTTTACCTCACCACTTGGGGCGAAGTGGAACAGTTTTCAAATATTTATCTGGTCTTGTCAAAGGTGTAGGCATGGCGGAGGCATGAAAAAGGAAAACACGATCCGTGCCATTGAATACAATGGGAACTGAGTTTTATCTTTAAATTATTGTTGTAACTAAAAACAATTTACAAATCATATTAATGTACCCTGTTTGCTATATCTTGAACAACCTGATGTACCTCTCTAACCTTTTATCAGAATGTTTTGAGGGCGATTTTATGCAGTCAAAAGCCTTACTGGAGGTATCAGCATAAAAGCTTTACATTACATCTAACTGTCAGGTATCACGCTAAAATCTTCATGGAAACGCTACAACAGTCTTGACGATCTTTCGACACGAATAAATACACTGTGTAAGCACACATTATATTTACTATGAGACTATGGATAATCGGCGTACAGTTGATTCGATAATCTGCGCCATGGCTACGCCAAATCTACATACATTGTCGTAGACGGGATTTCGATAACGCTTCAAAGATGCATGTCGTCTCATTGGAGACTTATTAATTTTAGTTAAAATTGCAATTTTGAAGACATTAAAATACAGTTAAGCAATCTAGAATCGGGACTAAAATTTTCTGCAAATACGTCTCTCGTCTGTCCTCCTGAAGTGCACGGGATATGTTAAAGGAATCACAGAGCAAAGGCCAATTCTATTTAGTCAAGACATCTGCTAATTTCATAAACTACCACCATTTTCAAATAAGAAAAACGGGAGTTTGTAAATCTGATAGGATTCTTAAGTATACTTTTAATTCTTTAAAAATTCCGGCGCAATTGTGGATCTTCTCTAAATGACATAGAACAATTCCCTTAAAGCTTAACTTATACGTAATTACAAGAAGTCTGCAGGTGGAACACCCACCAGCCTCGAACCAAGATAAGGCGGTCAATCATTTACGACTGTCCATTTCTTATCTTTTCCAACTTTTGAAAAATAATTTGGAAATAAACTGCGTGTGATCTGCCGAAAAAACTGTTCCTTTAACGGGGTTTCTAGTCGTACCAGTAAAATGTGAGCTCTTCCGGTGAGATTGTCCAGTGGGTTTTATACTATTACGTTAAAATATAGAGTGATGATATTCAATCTCTGCACTTTGAACTCAGCGAACTGCTGAAATTGACTTTTCATTATTATATCATATGACTATTGGCTATGTATTCACATCGTATACATACATAATGTGTATGTACTCATATTGTAATGTATTCATATTATGTACAATTTTAGCAGACATATGTTAGCTGTGGCTCTGTAGTCTAAAGAAAATTGTACACTAATGAAATATAGTGGCTAATGGTTTATATAAATTATTTACCTTTTTAGAATGTACCCGAAGTATTTCTTTATTAAATAAATACCTCCAATAATATGATAGATAAATTTTCTAGTTTTTCATAGGAAACAATGTAATGCCACGTTTCCTTTTTTAACCTAAATAATGTTGTAACTCTGTGCAAGAGGATCGCCCTCAGTATCTGTCCCGGCCTATATTAACTTTGACCAAGACGGGGACAATCGTCTTTGAAGGGAACTTTGGGTTTGACGGGTTTATCCTGAGACTAATCTATCATCATCATAAGCAACTTGAGATAAATGTGTATTGTATGGACAGTACGATATAGAGGGTATCGTCACATGCATTAGGGTAAATCGCTAGGTACCAGTGTATTATGCAATACCACATACTTGATATCGACATCGATGCAAAGCTGTGTTGTAAAAATAACTTCTACTTAGTTGCTATTAATTTCGTTGAAACCTGTGTGAAGAACATGCGGCAAAGATTATGTATAGCAATACCAGAAGTTGATGTCTTTGTTCCTATTGGTCCAAGTATCACAAGCAAAACGGGGTCATTAAAGTACAACTCGCTCAGAAGGAAAATACTTTATGAATTGGGTGCTCTATAGTTTGTTTGTGTTACGGCGAGGACAATGCTTGAAAACAGCAGTAGCAATAGCGGGGAGCATACACTTTTACTAGTTACAGTATAAGTTACTGACGTTGTTGCAAAACTGTGAGGAACTTTAAGAGTGTAGGCTATTGTTGTGCTGCATTTTCCGTGCCTGACTGTGTTTGGAATCACTGACCGTTTGTTTCATTCTTTTTTGTTATTATTCTATGGCCGATCGTCGCTTGACGTTTCTTAGGTATGTACGCTGAAATGTACCTAAGTTCTTTACGTTATTTTTGTTTATGAAGCCGACTTCTCCGAGATCGCGTGCCTTGCGCATTGGTGAGCCCACCTCGTTGAAATGCTGCCGTTGCTGTAGTGGCAACAACAGTACAGTCAGCAGCGGATCGTGTCGACGAAGTTTTTTCTTACAGAAGTAGGGTGCTGCCATCAGTAATCAACATCATCTCAATGACGACACAGGACGCCAAAGCTACTGGCTTCTTAGACGCCTCCGCCACGAGTCGACAACCAAGCGGTCGTTGGTGGGGTAGCTCGCCGTACACGTATATATGTGATATTATTCAATATTTCTCTAAAAATCATTATAAAGCGCTCGCAGTATGTTTGGGTGTCGTCGGCTGAATCCAGCCAATAAGCAACAGTGGGCGGAGCCTAATGCTCCGCCTTAGCAGCCGCTGCACAGAGAGCCCCTCTCCCGTGACAGCCGTGGGCCGCACCGGGTTTGCCGAAAGCTGCGGCCGATTCAGCCAGTGAAGCTGCGAAACAGTCAGATTGCTTGCTCTGCCTGTAAAGTGAGTGAGGTGCTTCTGCTGTTGCAAATGCTACCGGCCTTATTGGTGTAGCTGTAACACTAGTCAATATGCATTTTTCTCGCTCCTCATGTTGAATGCGATGTTTGGTTCAGGAAGCCGTTCGCCAGGACACACAAATTCCTTTACTTGCAACTCGGTTCTCCCTGTATCTTGCTTAGCATTGGTATTCCATTACGAATCACTTAGGTTGCCGAAAGTTTCCAGTTGGTGTCAAAAAACTATGCCAAACACTTTTAAGAAATTGGACAAAAGCCAGTGAATGGATTTCTAATATGCTCTGTTGCGACACTAAAATATAAGGGAAGTTTGTGTTCGGCTGAATCCAGACTTAATGGTGATACTGCAAAGTCGTGAAATCGTTGTGTAACACTTCGACTATCGGATTATTATTACCATGTGCTCCAGTGTCTTCGATAAGAACCGTGCTCTCACAATATGTAACGGAATCGGGGAGTGGAAGTGACAAGAATAATCTTTGTGTTATCAAGGTGGTAAAAAGGTCGCTTCTTAAGCCGCTGCCAGCGCGCTGCAACCATCATTGCCGTGTGACATCGTCATATACGCTAAAGGCAGCGAGGCGTGACGGCTGTTATGATCGGAGGTAAATAATTCACGCGAAGCTGCATACAAGCTGGAGGCCCGGCAGGAAATATTGGCAAGTATCTACGCAACAGGTGAACTGGTTTAGCTGTGCGATAGTACTGGCCTAAACCGACTGAATTTCTTTGTCAAACTGGACACGGAGCTTGGCAGTCAGCGTAAGTCGCCCTGCTCCGAGGCCGTGGGTACACAGTCAGCCGGCGAAGGCGAGGAGCAAAGCCTAGGTATACGGCCACATCAAGTAGCCCAGGCTCAACAGCAGCACCTTTTTGAAGACTACCGACATCAGCAGCACCAAGGGGACTTCGAAACAAGTCCAAAGGACACGATGTCCCATACGCCTAACGAGGGTGGCTCAATGCATGACGAGGCCAAGCAGCCCTTCATGGATATTGCAGGTCACCTTAATCCCTACCTGCGCGGTCAACCAATGGGCCCTCTAGGAGGATATCCCGGACCGCAGCAAGATTTTCAACAGCGCATGGCTGGTTACCCCTTTTCTGGTGTCGGTAACGGCCACCTGCAATCACCGTACGGAGGGCCGCCCGGCCACGCCGCCCATTATTTTGGCGGATATCATCCACCTACCCACTGTCCACCTGCGCATTCACCTCCGAACGTACAGAGACCCCCCGGACAGAGCAACAGTAACCCACAGGCCCAGCAAACCTCTCAGAACAGCGATGGTAAGTATACGGTGGTATGAACGCGATATTTGGTTATCTGTGTCAACAATATATCCTGATAATATAACATAGCCAATCATTAATTAATTTATACAGATCAAGTCAAATTAACGTGGCGCGTTGCTAGGTATTTAATCTATTATAGATGGAAATGCAGTTGCGCTTTTCCCAACGGAAAACTATTGGTAACTCAAACGAACAAAAGCTGTGGGTTCTATCCCCAGCTGAGGTTCGGTAATTTTTTAAATGATTTTCGTTCTAAAATTAGCATAGCGCACACTTATAAGAACGCAGTTTGACGGGACTGGTATTATTCCACGTAAAATTTATACCTGAATTCGAAATTGTCACTTACAGGGCTATTCATGTTCAGAAGTTTCAACTCTAAAAAGCAGTGCTCAGGTGTTTGCTTTTTTTGAATAGTCTCTCATTGGCAAATTGGCCTCTGGCCTATTTCACTTCGAAGATGGCCGACCTGACTTACAAAATTATGGCCTTCACTCGACAGGTGTCAAATATGTTGCAACGGACTGACAGAAAGAAATCCGACAGCATGGATATGGATAAGAACACGTTACCAACGTATCTACTACTGGTACAACTCCTCTTTGTTTTATCTATAATGGGCTCTTACATATACGTCTTTTTGGACACTTACATATCCTGTTAGGCCCTCATATAACCTTACCGCTAAAAACACCTTATTTATTATTGGTACACTTATTATTATTGGTATACTCATAAAATTATGTAAGAGCCGAGGCCAATTAGTAGTGTACCAAAATGGCTCGAAGAGTTCAAGTTAAAGTAGTAGAACTGATGAGTATTAGTTGATAGCTTGATCCTCACCAATGCATAGCAATCGAAGTCGACAGCTCGAAACAACGATATCAAACCAGAGCTATGTCACGCACTGCGTTTGTGCTTTCACAATTCATATAAACTACTTTTTTTTGGCCATTTCTTGTCATACCTGTGTCAAAATTAACCCTAGAGAGCCAGATATCAATATTTATGTAGTCTAGCAAAATTCGTGAAAATAAGGACGTCAACGGCAATATAAACATACTGTTATTACGAAATATCAATAGCACCCAAACACTAAAACTACACATCTCAAACAGTGCAAGGGCGGGTTCCGTAATCATGGGAGTCCATGTTTTGCTTAAAAACTACTTTTTTTTACACTCGACTAATTCTTGATTGGACTTGCAAAGTCAATTTTCCCTTCCTTTGAATGTATGCCCCTAATTGCTGGTATTAAATTGGGGGAATTGGTATAAGCTGATGGGTTATGTTAGGAAAATGTTAACAATAGAGTCGAGGAGCCCATATATATGTAGATCAAACTCGCACAGCCATCAACTTTGTCCATGAAGCAGCAGTCAAAGCTAAGTATTTCTAGGGGTCAGTGCCAGACCTAGTAGTGGGGAAAAAATAGTGATGAACAACATATTTTAACGGGAATAGCAGTTTCTTCATGTAGGTAGGTATACCACTTTTTTCTATAAACAATAATAAGATGCTTCAGTAAATATTGTGATCATAGAGCATTCCTGCATCCTCAGGGCTGCACTGCAAGATGTTAATCCACGTGGGTCTTTTTAAATAATGATCTAGCCCATGGTCAGAGCTTAAGGCAACTCTCTATTACGAATTAAATTTTTGTGCAATTGCATATTTTCAGCTAATACTCCGTTCATAATGTACGCGTCCAATATTCGTTTGCCTTGTGATTGAAAAGTATTAGGTCATACTCATTAAAATAGTACCATAGAACTAACATCATTAAGTCCATTTCTGCTACCCAAAAATATTTCTAGACTTTCAGTTTACATTATTCTCTATCTTGTGTACAAGTTATTATCCGAGCAACGATGAGCCCTAGACTGCGATTTGTTACATACGTTTGACTACTGTTCGCACCATTGTTTACAAGCAAGCATATTGAGTGCCTTACTTTGCGCACATAATGGCGGAGCAGCTTTTAATTTAGTATTATAGTACGTGTTGCTAAATCTAGTTCCTAGATCGGTACTTTTTAATAACCTGGTGAATCAATATTAGCCGTGTATCATGTAGCACAACCTGGATGGGCTCAATCATGCGCGAGCAAGCATATCTGAAGCATGTTTTCAAAGCACCTAGAGACAAAGAAAAGTCTGCTGTAGTGTACCCGAAATGCGATAAAATATGCGTATGTGACAGTATAGTGAGGGCTAAACAATGCATAATACAGATCAGATCTCCGCGTGTTTCAATAATTATTATTGTAATTATAATGCTATGAAGTAAAAAGGTTCCTTTTCTTGGAAGCTTTTTCGATTAAAATTACTTAAGACAAAGGAGAAAAATAGAAATCAGAAAAAAGTTTCCAGTTGATATATCAATTGCAGTTAGTTTTAGCCTAATATATACCGACACCAAGCTTGTCCTATTGGGGTTCAAGTGCTATTAAAAGCATTATTTACAAATTACTTTGATGAATATTCATATAGCATTTATAAGAAATAAAACAACGTAAATTACAAGATAATGAAAATAGTTTTTTTCTTTCAGATGTGCTTTAGCTTCCTGTCTATTGCTCTGTATTGTTTTATGTCTATACGATAATTTTGATTGTTATTAAAAGCGTATGATTGTCATTAGGCTCTGTAAGATGCATCGAAGGAATATTACCAAATTGTTCGTGCTTATTACAACGGTACCGCTAATACCATTTGCATTAGGTCTAGGATTTATTTTATTAAGAAATTAATGCACTGCGCTTTAAGGGAGCTTTATCTTATGATTGAAAATGTGCAAAGTATAACCAAATTTACCAATGTGCTTCACATAAACTTAGGTACCTATTCACACCTATGGTAGCGTCCTCATAAAATGCGAAAAATTATCAAGTGTTTGCTAAACCGTTCTTTCATTTTAAACTTCCGTTGATAGCTACTTTCGGTGAGCAAGATTTAGACTCAGGTCTCTCCAGAATATCGAAGTATTAGTAAACCTGTGCACATTTAAGGTCCAGCGCCCGTATGAAACAGACTAGATTTACATAGTACACAACAGATTTACCCATTGACTACAAAAGATTAACGTTTCGTTTTCTATTTGCGTTAGGCTCCATAAAGTCGCATACCGTATCTTACAGGGAGTCGCAAGACGTCTCAGTCCTATTATTGAAGGGATGTTTTGACATTCGTTACCGGATTACAAGTATTATTACTACAGATAAGAATATATGACAGTTACTATATATTACAAATAAGAATTAGTACATATGATTAACAACTTACCGCAAGTACATTTTGTCTGATTATTTTTTTGAATTACTAAAGAGGTTAAAAAGGAGTGACGAGAATGCATACATTACACTTTGTTAAAGATTTCCTGGCAAAAAAACAAGCAAATACGCAAAAGCACTTGTTAGCTTTTAAAGTAAAAGTCTACAGTTAATATTATATAAACTGAGGCCGTTTCTAAAAAGGAATGTTATTTGGGATACTTGAGATGAAGTTAGTAAATATAAGGATATGTAAACGCAGTTTTGCTATTATGCTGATATAAGGTTTGCGTATTAATAGCGAGGCTTGTCTAAGACGGCGTAGATTTGAGTCAAAATAGGTTACAATAGAAGTTGCCTATTATTTCTCAACTAATAATAATTTAGTCAGCCAATATTGCGTCTCAAATATTTTAGAGAATTGTGGCTACCGGCGTGTGAATCAACTGTTTTCTTTTTATCGCAGTTGTTTGGCTTTGTTGTTTGTACTTAGAACGTAAATCTCCCTTTTAAATGAAGGTGTGCACTGATACATCCGACTTGCATACATAATGAGTATATGCAAATAATTGCTTGGATATTTCTGAACCACCGCTCAAATTTCGTCCTGAACATCGACCGCGGATCAGCTGTGTGTTTTAAATTGACCAAGCTTCATTTTGTGGTAGGCTTATTCATATTTAAATGTCGGCGACTGATCCAAGTAATTTGTCACTGACGGCGGCTAGAACGTGAGCCATATGACTGCCCGTTCGCCTGTGTTTATATCTCGAGTTTTACGTTCGGTACCGCCATTAGGCAATCCATAAGACAACTGGCTCCCAGCATGAAACGAAGTGTAGCCACGTTAGAACATGAACCCAGACCACCACGTGTCTTTCAAGTTTAACAAACAAACAAGGTACCCACTACACCTTCGTCAAGACCCACTCGCTTGTCTGCAAAGACTATTTACTAGTTCTAAGTGTATTTTGTGCAACTATAGATGCTTTTGGCCCTCCTAGACGAGGCTATCCTGGCACAACTCCCTATGAATTTGATTCTGAATAACCGTCCGAAACTTTCAAGTTCATGTTTAAATTGTGGCCGCGATCTCTACACTCTTTCGGCAATTGACGAACCTCATCCGAAATTTTTGTTTTAACTACACGAAAGAATAGATTGATTTTCTGAATTATATCTTCGGCTATTGTTCCATTCGCGGCTCGACATGAATATATTATTTTAAAAGCGATCGAAGATTTATCCGCTTTCAAGTACATCACTCCACTCTCCTGAGGGTTGTCCTAGCAACTTAACGTACCGCTTATGGGTGGCTGTATAAAGCGGAATACTTCCTTTGTACATTACTCCTTTCTGTGTTCAGCAGTAAATTCGTTCAGTTCTTACCGTTGTCTAAGGGGTTTAAATGGCTAGCGTTCTCATACCTGTTTGAACATTATTTCACGCGGAACCGTATGTTCATATTAACTTTCGAGTGTGTTTAATATTCTTTCTCACAAAAACAAGATATGCCGCGGATAATGTTTTGGAACATATAATTCGTCATATAGGCGCGATCGGCGATTCAAGAGAAAACTTCAGTCGCCCTTTTTTAGATTTAAAATTTACTCAGAACTTCGATTAGTTAAATTTTAACGGGAATTTACCCAATCACGGAAAAGCACACGAATCTAAAATGCGCTGTTCATCATACAGGCAGCCAAAAATACGCTTGATTCCA